GGAAACGAACGAGACCCAGCAGTAGAAGGATGGACATATAATGACATATGCCTACTTTTGTCACCTCTACTTTGGACCACCAAGCAAGCATAATATGGCCAAACTTCCTATTAAACCGGAGGTCACGTCCGGGCTCTAGGTACATTGACCCCCGACATCAACCACCCCTGGCCTGATTGGGAGTCAAATGCCACACCTGGAGTGTTTGGAACTAGCAAATAACACACACATGGAGTGTTGACCAATTTGCGGATGACTCTCATTGGAAGTGACACTGTGTTCGTTCACTCCCCTGTTTGTAGAGGAACATGGCCATTTGGAGCCTTGCCATCCACTGAGTGTAATATGAATCGCCTGCACAACCGGTGGTCGAACGGAAAACGAACGGGGTGGTGAAACGAAGCCACCGGGATCTGGTGATGGTGGTGAGTTGTCATGCCGGGTCTCTAAGTTCCAACAAAGGTTGAAGAACCCCATCCCAAACACGACTGGCATGGGGCATGGCATGACATCCATTGACCCCTTTTCAATCAACCACCCCTGGCCGTTTCTCGGTCAATATGCCAGTCCCATTAGTCATGTTTGGGCAAAGACGATCGTACCCCAGGTAGTTCTGGGTCCGACAGGTCCCTGGTCCCTCGGAACATGCCTTCCACGCGGCTCGGATGGGTGGCGTCTGGTGGCGTCGAGGGGGATGTGGAATAGACGCTCCGTTCCCTTGACCAGTACGGATTCGGGTCCGACCCCTCCATAGGTTCGGGGCCCGACTAGGGGTCGCGTCTGGGCAAATGGATATATGGATCGTGGACGATTGTGGGAGGATCGATGGCATGAACCGGTCGGTGCAGTGAACCCCCCGCCCCATCGAACGGGGTGCCGTGCGTGCGCCATCTACCTCTTAAAACCATGTTCAGAACATGGAAATTCCACCCAAAGGGCAACCCTGGAGCCCTATGCTTCGGTCCCAAACGGGTGAGTCCGGTCTGAGGCGGACTGGATGACCCGGAGGATGACCGGCGTCGCCCCACCTGTGCCCTGCCATGGAAGAACAGGAGCTACGACCTGACTGGAGAGAAACGCACAGATCTTGTTGGTGCTTGCAATATTGAGTCCATGAAGACAGAACTCATGCATGCAGGACCTTTCAAGCACGGACACTTGTATAACTTCATCGGAAAATCACATTCTTTCTACCCTATGAATCCGAACGGGCTTACCGATATCGCAAACACCATAAATAATACCCAGATACTCCGTGAATGCCAGCCACCACAAACAATAAATCCAGAAACAGGGGTTCGGTCGCTTTAGCCTTTGGAACTACAACTATATAGGATCGTATAAGGTAAGTAGGAAAATCATCAAAACTGAATTGAGTCATGATATTAAAATTAACAAAAAAGTATTGTAGACTGTTGTAAAGCACAAAAAGAAAGCCACTCAAATGGGTGGTAAAGCATCTCCTGGCACGTGATTTGAGTGACCTGGACTAGGACCCGTCACCTGGGGTACCTATGCGATAGTCTCCAGGGTTCTTCAACCTCTGTTGGTACATAGAAGCGTTTCCAATCACCTTCTCAGAGGGTGGCAGTGTATCCCTAGGCAATGGTATTCCGGACTGCCAACCCACCACTGCGCCGCATCGAGGATACCGCCCCAGGCGAATGCAGGAGAACGGCGAGGATCATTCTTCTCGGACGCAGTGTGTGGTTTTTCGTGTTCGCTTTTTCTCGGTGTCCGACGTGGGCAGTCGTGGCCGTGGTTGAGGTATAAGTCCTGAAGCAGCGGACTGATCTGAGTGGAATGAAAAACGCTCATACGCTGCGCAGGGGTTAGATAGATGCAACTCAAACACTGCTTGGCGGACGCAAATACTCTTTATTGGGATCTATGTTCTTTGAATTTCTTTGATATGTCATATATGTACGCCTACAAAGCTGTGAGCACCCGTCAACACAAATGATTTCTAGGCAGCCAAAGACTCGGGATAAGACTCAACGTCCCAACGGCGGATTTCCGGCAGGAAGCTGGCCCCAAACACGACTGGCACGGGACTCGCAAGTTATTCATGCATTGGGAGTGTTTCAGGGTCCATGTCATGTAATGTTGACCTATATATGATTCATCAAGTATACATGGTCTATCCTATTACAAGTGGATGATGATGGATTAGTAATTAGAGGCCTTGTCCAAAAGTAGTGAATAGCTTGTTTACGGGTCCTGTTACAGGTAAATAGGACTTAACGCCGCACACTGATGAATCAACTACCCCACTACCAGGACCCTCCTGTCGTGGTGTCCTGGGACTACCCCACACTACCTATACTTCCAGACAGGGCACCACGGTGTAGGCTCCTGGTATAGACGATCCTCGTGTCTGGGGTTGGGCCATCCTCTCCGGCCACGGCCGGGCGTGTCGATCACCGTCCTCGTGCTTGGCGCGGTGAAGGTGACCGTCTCAGTGGGCACCTGCCGTGGGAAACGCTGTCGCTGAAGTGGTCTGAGCTGGTCCATCTGGCACTGCTGCCAGTCCGGACTGCCGAGAAACGACTTGGGGTGGTTGAAAAGGGGGTCGTTATGGGGTGGTTTTGAGTGTCTGGGTATAGTAGCGGGTGCATTACTAGTGGCAAGAAGCTACTAGTAACAAGTGCATCGTTATTATAGTAACAAGGGGCATTGCTACTAGTAACAAGCTGGTGTCTGGATAGACCATCTGGACCATCTGGAGGCAGTTTCTTCCAAGCTTTGAGAGGCCAGACATGAACTGACCTTCTGACAGGCCATACATGTGACATGAAGATGGTGGAACCGGGAAGAGGAATCCTCCCCCTCTCCCAACAGCCCAGTCGACAAGTGTGAGAAAGGCCCAGTCGACAAGGATCACGGCCAAGTCGATGAGCAAGTCTTCCAAGTCTGAGCAGTACTTTTGAGCAGTACTTTTATCGAGGTACCTGGGTACCTCTAGAAGTGCCATGTCAGCCACTGTGCTTTCTTCCGAGTCTTCTTCCAGAAAAAAGATATAACTCTAAAGCCAGGGCCCAAACCGTCCCAAACTGATCCAAACGACTGGTCAACCCTGTCCTCTCAGCGAAATCCACCCCTCGTCTTCACTTCCCCTCCGCGAAACCCACCGTCTTCGTCGTCACCGTGGTCGAGGTGAAGGTCCTGTGAAGGTCGTCGTGCTTCGGACCATCGGTGACACACAGAAAGGACGGGACAAAAAGAGTAACGTACTATCGCCCGAGCTAGGCCTCCAGTCGTACCGAACCGTTTCGGTGAAGGTGGGACGACCGGGGCCCGGGTGCCAGCCAGTCGGGTCCAGTCATACCGGTTCCCGGTGCCAGGAGGTACGACGAAGTCGGTGTAGGGTCATGGTCAAACTCTTAGAATATGATGGAATCTTGATAATTTACAAACTAAAATTCCATAAAAGTACTAGTCCTGGTCCTAGTCCACTCATTAGACCCCCCAAAAAAGACACCATCTTTTTGAAGACGCATAAGAATGAGCAAAGTTCTACCTATTTGGATTTAAACAACCTCTTGATATGACGGGTTGACATCTCATCTAAGAGTCTACAGTAGCCAAACACTCCATGTATGGCATATTGTGGTGGTTTTCTGAGTTGTATTTAAGATAGATCAAAAGGACGTATAACCACTTCCCCTCAATAATGTATGTAAATATGCCATACATGGAGTGTCTGGGGTAGACTTCTGGGGCACCGTTTTGTTGAATAACACCCAAATGATGTTCAATGGGAACTCCCACCAGGTGCGAATGATGGCATCCCAGCGCGTTCCTGGCAAATTAAGCACCAGTAACCTGCCTTATCAATCTACAAAAGCTCAAAACAGCCTTCGAATGTCGAGTCCGCGTGCGCCACCGCATGTCACCTCCCCCTGGGCATGTGACCAAGCAAACATCCGCCACTCTGCCACGGTGAAGCGATGAGTGGGGCCCCGTGCCCTTCGCTTTTCCCCAAGCATCGGGGACTGGAAGAGTTCACATGCCCAGACACGATGTCGAGACTGGCATATCCCAGACACGACGCCTGCATGGGACCATCTGAAACCATCCATTGACCCCTTTTCCATAAACCACCCCTGGCCGTTTCTCGGTCAATCTGCCAGTCCCATTAGTCATGTTTGGGTATTTACATCCATTGACCCCTGACATCAATGAACCACCCCTGGCCCGAACTCTCGGTAGTCCGGACTGCCAGACAGATCGTGTCTGGGTGGAGGAGTGGTCACGTCCGGAAGACCTCCTGCTTAGTGGCAGAACAGGCCGCCAACAGGGACCAGGATAGGCCAAAAGGATAATATGTGTTACCTGATTTTGCAAAGGTCCAAAAGTCTTGTTCTTTAGTCGTCATTGAAGCACCAAAACATGCCATATGAGCTATGACCATTGTTCTATGGTACCCATATCAACAAGTTAAACCCAAGCGAATGCAGCTTTGAGTCATGTGCTCCACTTTGCCAGCGGGATTTGGAGGACCTCTATGCTCAATAGCTTCTTTGAATTTCTTTGAGGGGTAACCTATTTTGGCACATTTTGCACCATAGCCATATAAAACCAAAAAAGTCATGATCATATTAAGTCATATAAGTGTCTCCAGTGGAACTCGGCCGACGCGGATGCTCCATGCTCCTCGTCTCTGGCAAGGTGAACGTCACCGTCTCCGTGGGAACCTTGGGCGTGTGAACCTCTTCACGTTCAAGGGCTGCTAAGAGATTTCCTGGAAAATCAAGAGCGTCACATAGGTTGACCCTCCAAACCTACATGAGAGTGTCTCCAATCACCCTCTAAGAAGGTACGACAGGATCGCTATAGGGATAGGTTGACCTTCTTTTTCCTTTGTCCATCGCTATGAAGCGGGCCGGGCAACATAGGGAAACCAAGAAACATCCTCCTAAGGACCTGTTTCATCACTCATTGGGCACCTGGAGGACCTGGAGAGGTCCTGCTTTCGGCAGCAACTGTTCTTACTTTTTGCAGGTCGGAGGTCCTGGGGAACTACCCAGTTTGAACATCCATGTTCTTGCTCTCTCGGCAGGGAGCAGGGAATCTATTTATGTACCTGAGTACCTGAGAATTGATTTTCATGAGAATATACTGTACAGAAAAGCAGGAACAATAGCATTCCAAATGCAAACTGTGGGCAACAGACCGGATTGCAAAAGTCGCATCTCAGCCGCCACCACCCATTGCAAACAGTCTTTCACCACGCAGTGTTCAACTCCAAGAATACACGTGTCTTGCACACGGTCAGGATCATGAAAGTTGGAAATAATCTGTTAAAACATGTTGAAAAAAAGACAAACTCAAGCTAAAAGAGCTTGACCCACGCATTGACGGTCTGCTGGGTCAGCTTCCAAGTGCTCTTCTCCTCCTCCGGTGAGACCGGCCTCGCGCGGACAAAGGATCACGACGTGAGCCTGTGACTTCAGCTGTTTCAGGATTGCACTGCCACCTTCAAGGGCCGACCGCTCGTCTCGCAGCCCACGACCCCAAGTGCCTCGTCCAGAGTCCTGGCGATCGAGACAAACACATCCCGATGGCATCGGATCATAGTCATTGGATAAGCAAACAAAAACTATCTTCCCCAGGAATGGGGCGGATTGACAGGGACCAAAAAGGATCCATCGGCCCTCAGCAAAACCAGGTAATTTGAGCATCCTTCTGAGAATGTTGTAGCTGGAACATTAGGCTTGTGCTCAGGGAAGAATGAGCCACACACACATCTTATGCTTTTCGGGGGAGGTCTATGTGACGGCGATGGTTTAGTCGGTTTAGTGCCATGTACACAGGTCCTCTCACATGATCCCTAGGGATCCAAATACCTTCTCTGCAGGTGATCGGACACACTGTTATGTAGATGCCAGGAGGGTCCAGTCGTACCGAACCTGAGAAGGTACGACTGGATCCCGAGTGGATTTGACCTTCTACCGGTCTCCCAAAGGAGTCGTTGGCTCCAGCTCGAGTTGCCTAGTGGACGGCTCACTGCAGCCCCAGTAGTTTCACTGGGCGTCCATTCTGGCGATTTCCGAGCTGGACATCTGGAAAAAAAAACATACCTTAAGGAATGAAGCATATCCCAGACGCTCCATGGGACTGCCATATATGCCTACATTGACCCCTCAAACCACCCCAATGTAGGCATATATATATATACCACACATGGAGCGTCAGGGTATTTGAACCGAAGTGCCTTTCCACCTACTATTCTTGGTGTAGTGGGGAAGCCTGTCTTCCCCACCGACTGAAGGTTAGGCAGGTACGTCCACTTTTCCTGGGTCGAATCACAAATGATCCAGGGGACCCTACCAAAAAGTATAGGGTCGGCCTTCGGATGTGGGACAGGTTTGACATTGATTTGGCTTGCCCTACTGCGCTCCTCTTCTCGTGGTCGCTGAGCTGGAATTGATCCAGGTCCATGTCGCGAAAGTTGCCACCATCAGAACACCGGAAGTTCATCACATAGAAACCCAGGAAGAATTTGTCCATTTCGAAGCGATAATGAAAGACTTTTTGTTGAGAGGCTTGATGCGCGTATTTCAGTTTCTTCCTCTTCTTGGTATCTACAGTGTAGAAGCGGTCCAAGATCGAGTCAAGCCAAACCACCACTTCATACAACTCGTCCTCCACAGAACCCTGGAAATCTACATTGACCATCTCTTCTGGATGTTCCTGCCAGGAGTTCCAGCATCATTCCTCTTAGTTACCTTCTGCTCATCAGGCAAAAACTACAGCTACTAATGAATCCTAATGAATCCGGCATTGAGGCTGAACACGAAACACAGGCCACGCCGTTTCCAGCGAGGATTGCTATGTTCTTGATATGCGATAGTTGAAGCTTCTGCCCCCCAAACAACACGTGTCTTCATGCCGAAGCGCTGGAAAGCTTAGCTTTCTTCGGGGAATCTCAAGGACCACCGGCAAATACCTGCAAAACAGGTATCAGCACGAAAACAGCTTATAAGCGTGGGTCTCCGAAAAAGCAAAAAAGGGACTAACCCTCCCTACACGATATTTGTTGGGGGAATGAATCCCCAAGGGTGATATCGTGTCCGTCCTTGTTGTAGGCCTCAAGAACTTCCTTGCATGTGCACGTGTAGCCGATGGACACATCTCCATCAGTTCCCATGGCCGCTCAGCCTTTGCTCCGCTCCCGGTCCGCTTGAGCCGCTTGAGCCGCGGAGAACACCACGGGGGTTTTTCGCCTGGGACTGGGTTTCTCGATGCGGCATCGGTGATTCCCCCCAAAGCACCTCAAGATAGGCATGCACCCTGAAGTGTACATAAATATATTATACACTATATTATATACACCATACGTGGAGTGTCTGGTATATCGATTGCGGCTAGAAAACCTGGAAAATGTTCAGCTCTGCGGACAAAACCTTCTTGAATTCGATGCTTTGTTCTTCAGCAACGAGATAACGACATCAATATCAACCTGCACATGTCCCATGTCACATTCTTCCGCCTTATGCATATAACTGCACAGGTGTCCTAACTCCACCTCTCTCTCGCCGTCGTATACCGAGACTCGGGGTTTCGTTTCGACCGTTGATGCAGGGGTTTCGGCCTCGGCGGATGTGACAGGCCAAACGATGGAAGAAACCGTTTCTTCTACGGAGGGAACGTCTGCCTGTCAAACGACGCTAAGGGACCTGGTTGATTGGTAGGGCACTGCTGCGGAAAAGACGGTATATATATATATATCATGCGGCAATCAAAGTATCCCAAATAGAGACCAGGCTTTAGACGTTTTGGCATTGACAACCATTGAAACAACCTCAATCAATGATTTCCTAATAATTTACCATCTCTTACAGCTCTCCAATGAGGTCTCTACTTCGAGCTCTCGCCCCATCTTCGCACCCCGTCACAACGACACGCGGAGCCGGAAAACGGAGCCGGACAACGGAGCCGGAAAACCGCTCGTCAGCGCTGCAGTCAAAGCCACTGTCCTGGAAGTCACGGACGTGTAGGTCCTGCGACGGAGACTGCTGCGGTGACAGTCTCAACTCATGGAAGTAGGATTCAGATGGATTCAGTGGGTTCAAGATGGTTCAGTCTAATATAATCCCAAGTAAAGAAACACATCTCAAACCACCACCGAGAGAAGAAATTGCACATCACGCGACCCCAACAGTCAAAGCGTGGTGGATCCAAAACCTGGGCGCTACCCGTCGCAAAAAGACGCTCCAAAAACTGCCTCGCCACAACCACGACTCTTGCGACCAGACAACAAACTATGGGTTTCAACGGCCTCGAGAATGCATACGTTACATATATGACATGATGTTGGTATGCATGTCTCCACAAGCCCTTCTAGAAAATCCACTCTGAAAACCAACAAGTGCTGGCTGTCACTGAGCTGACCTGTTTGCGCACCTAGACACCCCAAACAGGTAGCTTGGGGAATCTTGACGATGTTTTCTGCCAATCCTTGTGAACTTGTGCAGCAACTGTCCATGTTCGAGGGCCTACCATCCTAGATTTCTTGAGCCATATTGAAAGACCGGATGCAGGACCAACAGATAAAAGAGCTCTGAACTTGAAAGAACACCTTGCACATTGGGGGAAAACAACAATAAACCTACTCGCAAGTTTCTCCGCTCATGGCATGGCACCAGTGCTGAATCTGAACAATAGAAAAAACACCCGAGAATGTCTAAAGATTTGCCAAGCAATCACTTCATCATTTGCCAAGTCAAATTAGGTGAGGGAACACTTCAACCCCCAAGACTCCAGCATCCACCTGGACGTCGTCACGTTACGACCCCTGCCCCGCCCCCGTCCCCCATATTCCAAGCCGCGCCGGTCGCCCCGTCGCTCGACGGGGTGACGCGCCTGGTGCTGGGCATCGTCACGGAGGTCCAGGTGAGTGAGCTCCAAGTCAACGTCGTGCCCTCGGTCGGGCGCGCGCGTCGCTCGGTCGGTCGCGCGTCCCGCGTCTCCCGCGTCCCGTGTGGCCGAAGGAGACCGACCGGCGGGTGGGACACGCCTTTTTCCATGTTCGTCGTGGAGAAGGGATTGAGCTTGAGGCAGCTGCTTAGGTGTTCCTTGAGGGGTTACCTTTGGGGGAGTTCCTTGGAACAGGAAGATCTGCAACAGGGGAGGGACACAGAATGGAGCCGCAGCCCGTGTGGAGGAAAGCATACGATCTTCTTAAGCATACGTCCCAGACGCTCTGCAACATGGTGCGAAACGTTCCACGTCACCTGGGAGGTAGCAGCAAAGCTACCATCCGGCGGGCTGGTTTTGCTTCACGGTGGACCCTCAGCAGGTCCGAGTGCACTGAAGGACTGAAGGCACAACCAGTTTTCCTTGAGGAGCCCGAGTTTTCCTCATGGTGACCCCATGCCCTTCGCATGTTAGCTTGGCAACATGAGGCTTGAGGTGAGTCAATCCACGCCGAGTGAAATCCTTGCTGGTGTCCCCACCTAAACAAACTTGTCCACCGGGCCCTCCCTTCGTCACAATCCAAGCGGCGGTTTCCGTCACCATCCTGCACACATTCATTGAAACGGTTGTGTTGCGTGTCATGCTTTTTCTGCGGCCCAGAATTTGTTTGGGGGTTCTATTGATAGCCCCTTAGATGCTATAAGGGGTGTCCATTAACCACCCCGACAGTGGGTCCTGGTATAAGAGAGGTGAAAAAATATCATGCGCCCAGACTGATCACGATACACTTGAGACTCGAGACTACGCGACTGAGTTCTTCCGCGCAAGCAAAGACACACCCAGATCCATTATTTTATTACTTCCAAATGAACTTCCAAACCTGTTCGCGATGACGAGTGTTCTACCAAACTGGATCTTCTAAACCTGCACCCTCCAACAGGTCTTTTGTGGAGGCTTTTGTAGACATAAAAGTTGCAGGTGGTGACCTGGCAGGCTGAAGGTCCTGGAAGAAACTCCTCATTCGATCCTCCTCTTCCTGGCTGGGTCAGGAGTTTGGCTTCTGGCCTCGTCGCTGTGAACGTGGTGGCCGTGGTGACCAAGGTCGTCGCCCTGGCGTGCTCTGCGCAACGGTGGAGAGCCACTGAAAAGGGATCGCTGAAGGAACCAATATGACAACCCTGTGTGGTTCTGGTGTGGGAATAAAGTGTTGTTGTTTTCCGGAACATCATGGTTTGCAAGGTGCAACGTTGTTTCCTGGAGTAAAGCCATTGACCTTGAACTCGGAACTGTCCTTTCTCTGAACCCTCTACCCCCTCTTCGGGCCTCGCGGTTGTGACGGTGGCCGTCTTGGTCGTCTCTGGAACCAAAAGGGGCAGAGCTGCACCACCAAGGGCGGCTGCACTTGCAACCCCACCAGCACCACCAGCACCGGCCAAGCCAGCTGCAGCAGCCCCAGCAGCCGCTGCCCCAGCCCCAGCAGCCGCTCCAGCCCCAGCAGCCACTGCAACCCCCGCAGCTGTGGGCGGCCTGCAGCAGATCGTGTCACGAGATGTTTTCATGGTGGTTGGCATCAATTAAAGGCTAAGACAAGAATCTTGCACCAGCTTAAGGGGGGGTTCCTATTGGAGGAAGTCGGGGTGCCCAGAACATCCACTCACTGGATGGGACCAAACACCCAACTCTATGTGACCCCTGGCGTAGTTTTCAGTCTCAGAGTCTCTCCACTTCGCCATATGCCACCCAAAAATCATCACCTTCGACTTCACCTTCGCTGACCAAAAGGAGGAATGACGTCCCCGTGTGCTTTTTCTTCCCCGGCGATGAACGGACGTGAACCATCCGACATGGATCGGATCGTGTTGCTGATCGCTGCTGGGATCGACGGATGGAGCGAGCCGCTGTGAACAGCGGCGACTGGGCCGGCGCTGGGCGCAACCCTCAAATCACCACAAGCACCCCGTTGCAGCCGCAACCCGACGTCGCATCCCCCTGATGAGGTTGTTCAATCCATGCCTGGAACGGGGTCTTTATATATGTCTTCATCAACTTGAATTTGGTTTAAGGAGGCCTGGAACATCGAAAACAACACCTCAGAATAAGCAAAACCAAGTCACCCAAGGCACTGATGAGGATGACTGAGAGGGGTGACCACCCTAGTCACCCCCTGCAGCCCTGCCCTGCTCGCCTCGTAGAAGCCCAGTGCGGCGGCGGCACCGCTTTGGGCCTCGAGCGTCAGAGGAAGACGTTAGGGGAGCCACCACTCCAAATGGCAACAAGACCTATCGATCAAGCACCCAGGAACTGGATGCTTGATTGAACCCCATCCATCCTCACCACCCAAACTGCGGGTGCTGGAGGTTTGTTCGTGGAGGTTCTTTCATCTATTTCGTGGCACCGACTGTCCTCCCAACATCTCTCCGAACAAACTCACGTCCGCGCCTCAATTTAGCGGGTCCGAGGCACCGCCGAGGAAGAACATGCCAAATCCCGAGACTTCCAAGACAATTATATAAAAAGATGGTTGACCTGGTGTTTGTAGTGTAAAATCCTTAGTTGATTCGGTAAAGCCTATTAAATTAATGGTGGTTGGAAGCCTAGGGAAATCCTTCAACCATCATGTAAACTCTTGATCAACTCTCCCCCCTTCAAGGTACTGGTCGAAGGGGCCTGGTCGATCAGTGTAGCCCAACGTATCAGTAGCCGTCGGATTTCAGATTGTATACATAAACCCTGGAAGTCAAGTCGACCATGTTTTAAATGGTTGATCTGGTTTTGTAGGGTAAAACCCTTAGTGAAACAATGGTTGTTCGGTAAAGGCTATTAAAACAATGGTGGGCCACGACTTCTGGAGATCATGTAAACTCTTGGTCAACTCTCCCCCCATGAAGCTTTTTTGTTTAAATCCGTGTCTGGGGTGGGTGAATAATCAAGAATCATCAAGAATCTACATTGACTGGTGCAACTCCAAAGGAATGAGAGTGGCTGAATCCCAAGGTATCCATCGAGAAAGTCAGCCACCCTCGTTACTTCTGTCGCAGGTGCGTCAGGAAGCCGCGGTGACATCGGTTCCTCGACTTCTTCTGTCTTCTGTCGTCGGTTGTACTGCACAGAGTCGACCCTTTTTGCGGGCGCTGATGGCAGGGTGTTCCTTGATAGCCACAACAATTGGCTTGGACATAGTTCTGGTCCACCTCTGCCCAGCAACAAAAGAAACCTGTGTACCACTGCCCCCAGCGTTTCAAATCCAACTGCATTCTGCTGTTGAAAAAACAGGCGCTTG